TAGCTCCATTGGCATTTTCGGAGTTATAAAATCAGCACCCGGTGATTTCTTTGGATTAAGCTGCTTTACTATAGCTTTTACTCTAAAGAGTTCGTCTTGCTAGGTGTGTATAGCTCATTTGTATTTTTGGTTAACCATGGCAACCTGAAGTTGGGTTCCTAATTGGCATTTCCGTAACCACTGGAGGTTTGAAGTATTTTAGCGATTTCCATAGAGTATCTTTCAGTAGAATTCGGGGAAAGCTTCTTAACGTACCTTTGCAAGTTGCGATCCTCTGCACGTTTGAGTGCTTGTTTCAGTTTTCTACTGGCAGCTTTATACACAGCGTTGCCACAGACACATTTTTTTCCTACCGAAATTTCCTACCATAACTAACCAAAACCTACCAAACATTTTTTTGAGTTTTAATATTTTTTTTTTCAATGTCAAATTTATTAAAAAAATAGCTAACATGTAACAGTACTAAATTTTGAAAACTAGAACTCAGCTAGTACAATAAAAACAAATTAACTGCGTATAACGATTCATTTCACTGTGCATACATACATATCGTCATTAGATACGAATAAAGACGCCAGCTCAAAAGTTGACAGCGAAAAAAGACGCGTAAAAAAATTTCGGCGAATAAGGACTCTTAACATAGGCGAGGGCAAAGAAAGACGAGTTAACCTCTTTGACGGCGAAGAAAGTCGAAGAAGACTTATTTTCGCGGTCAACTCTGTTTGCGAGTATACGAATTCGCCAAAGAGTTTTTCCGGAATGATGTTGAATCCATGTTTACGCGTGCTTTGCATTGAAGTCGCCTCCTGCCAGGAATCTATTACCCAGGCTATCAAAGAAATCTTTAAAGTCATTTTCAGAAATTAAAAATCGCGGTGGACAGTAAATAGCCGACAGATTCAAGTCTCGGTCGCGCTTTCGTAAGCATATGGTAGTTGCTTGCAGACAGGCTGTTGCTTTTGAGTCTAGAATATTGTGCTTTAGGCGATTTCTAATCAGCACCACTGTGCCACCATTAGGTTTACCATCTGGGGGATTTGTGGCATAGAATTTGTATCCAGGTATGCAGAAATTATATTTATTTGTTAATTGTGCCTCAGAGAGTAGCCGAACATCTATGTTATATTCAGTGAGAAATTGACTGAGTTTTAATCTATGCTGGTTTACACCGTTAGCATTCCATAAGCAAATTTTCTACTCAGTCATTTGTATACAGGGCATCCCCTCCGCAATTACCGCATTTCTTCACAGTCACATCGGCTTTGATAGCCTTGCAAGAAGCGGAAGCGTGAAGATCGCCACAGGCAACACACACTGGGCGCAAGTTGCAGTATGTTCTGGTATGCCCAAATTCTTGACAATTTGTGATGATTCTATACCTTTTATTACGTATAGAAGTTTTTCTTATCGTTTGGTTACCAACCTAAGTTAGGATCTCAAGTATGGTCTCTGTAGGGATAAATCGATACAAGTAAATCCAAGTACATACTCGATACTTTTCTCAATTTACCAAGTAGTTTTGTACTCGATACTTTTTACTGCGATCCAAGTAGGTATCAAAAAAAGTACTTGTATCGGAAGCGCAAAACTTATTATGCTTCAGCATCTTCTTTGAAAAGCAGCTCATTAGAGGAATGGGAAGATATGCGCACTATATTTCCGCAGCTATATAAGCAAGCCCGTCAATACATTACGGTTGTTGGGTCATCTGTCCCTTGCTAGAGGCTTTTCTCAAAAACAGGTATAACTATCAGGCATGTTCTAAAATTTGCGGTTTTCAATTAGAATATTCACTCTTTTCATCAGGTATAATTAAAAATATTTGGAAAATCGAGTCGATTTCAAAGTTTCGAATTTCAGAACATGCCCGTATATCAAAATTTCGAAACCGCCTTTCACGAAAACACTTGGGAAAAGTTGATTTTTTTGGGGAAATATAACAAAAAACAAGTTATTTTCTTAAACTTATTTTATATGAAAAAACTTTATCAATCTTGTAAAAACGTATTTTATTGTTTTTGTATGGAAAAATATTCGAAGGTAAATAATCTTGTAAAAATTCATATTTTTTGTGAAAAAAATTCAATAACTTTGAAAAATCTGCAAAATCGTAGTTCTATGGACAAGTACTCGATACCTTTCCGATGCTGAGTAGGTATCGATACCTTGTTTGATACAAGTACAAGTACTGATTTGAGTAATACCTTGATGGTATCGATTTATCCCTACACGCGCATTCTCATTTCCAATTTCCAACAACAATAATTTTCAACAATTTCATTCCTTTATTTTCAATTTTGTATAATTTTAAAATGCTGGGAAACTTAAAAAATCCTGATGGACCAATTGAGGGAACGGTAAAGTATTTTAAACTCTCGATAAACATGCGTTTCAGAGAATCTGATTATTTCAGTTTTCCCTTGCGGTTTAGAGAAGGGCCAAACGAAAAAATTAAGATTAGTCCACAAGAGATTATTTTGCGAGATTTAGCCGATTGGTGTAATTAGTCAATACCACTTGAAGGATCGATCAATTTCGTGTCCGCAAAATAAGCACTGTACGATTGTTAATAAAGAAATGGTTAATATGTTGTCCGGAGAAGAAATGTCGTCGATATCTAATGTCGTTTCTAAATATCTACAGGAGCAAGTAGAAGTAGGGGAATTGCACCTCATGACTTGATAATAAAAGTTGAAGCAGTTGTGATGCAAATCCGCAATCTAAATATGTACATATGAAGGGTTAGTTAATGGTCTCGCCTAATAGTTAAAGAACTACAATACAATTGTTTGGATGCCGGAATACAAATATGTTCATATAAAGGGTTAGTTAATGGACTTTAAATGTGTGAATCACATGTATTTCCGAGTGTATTTCTGCCATGAAAAACAGCTTCTCATATAAATGCAATCGCCGTTCGGAGTCGGCGTAAACTGTAGGTCCCTCCCCTGTGTGTGACAACATCATGGAGAACGCCACAAATCGGAGGAGAAGTTCGGCCAAACACTAACATATGTATGTGTAAGGGCCAATCTATTATTGTTAAAGAAAGTAATTATTTTTCATCCTTCCTCCTGTGTGTGACAACATCATGGAGAACGCCACAAATCGGAGGAGAAGTTCGGCCAAACACTAACATATGTATGTGTAAGGGCCAATCTATTATTGTTAAAGAAAGTAATTATTTTTCATCCTTCCTCCTGTGTGTGACAACATCATGGAGAACGCCACAAATCGGAGGAGAAGTTCGGCCAAACACTAACATATGTATGTGTAAGGGCCAATCTATTATTGTTAAAGAAAGTAATTATTTTTCATCCTTCCTCCTGTGTGTGACAACATCATGGAGAACGCCACAAATCGGAGGAGAAGTTCGGCCAAACACTAACATATGTATGTGTAAGGGCCAATCTATTATTGTTAAAGAAAGTAATTATTTTTCATCCTTCCTCCTGTGTGTGACAACATCATGGAGAACGCCACAAATCGGAGGAGAAGTTCGGCCAAACACTAACATATGTATGTGTAAGGGCCAATCTATTATTGTTAAAGAAAGTAATTATTTTTCATCCTTGATTTAAATTAATATCAAATAACTTACGGTTCAGAATACAAAGGGGAGGAGAGGATAGTTTTGTGTGTTTTTATTAGTACGTGAAATTTTAGTACCGTAATGTAAACCAAACACATATTTAATATCTGACATTTATATACGTGACGAGTATTATCATATATATATCCCATTCGTTCTTTAGAGAAGTCTCTTGGATGAATGTTTTTAACACGGAGCATATCAATAATGGTTATTTTGATATCTAAAATATGTTTACACAGTATGAGTTCTTTTAGCTATCAAGCCAATTATTTGTTATTGCATCAGCACGTTTTAGTGTAAATATCTGTTTTATTGGTTTTCGATAAAAGTACCTTCTCCAATACTTAAAAATATTTGTATACCCGAGCGCACTTGTACACAAGAGTATTATAACTTTGTTTACGTAACGATTCTTTGTAATAGCCTAAATGAATCGGGATAGATACAGACAAATGTATACATAAACGGTCAGATTGAAAAGAGAAATCCATTAAGCCGTGAGTCTATCCGTCCGTCGTACGTACGTCTGGGCACACGATAACTCGAGTAAAAATTGAAATATCTTAACGAAACTTGGTACGTGTATTTCTTTTAAGTCGAGGACAGATGGTATTGAAAATGGAAAAAATCGGACAATAACCATGCCTACCTTCCATATAACGGTAGTTTTCAGAAATACCAAAAATGCGATATTAAGTTTTTCAAAAATTCTTTAGCAAGAAATACGTTTGTAAAAAAATGTTGGAAACTTGTTATCATTATAGTACTTGAAACATAAAAGCAAAACGTAGAACATTTTTGAAATCGGACTAAAATTACGCATACTTTTCATACACTCACAACAATCACTTGAAAAGAAATAACATTGTTATGGAACTTCGGAAACTGGGTGTGTTACCGCCCACTTATAGCTAAAATTATTTATTTATTTATTTATTACAGTCATCTGACCTATATATTTATGAGGCCATGAGAACAGAAGTGGCCTAAACTAAAATTGATTTTTTTTTTGTACTTGCCTATTTAATATAGTTAATTATTTCTTAATTTCAAGGTACAGAGCTACATAACGTTCCATCAAATTAAGGAATAAGCGATCTTTACTTTAAAATTTATTACTTCTCACGGCCTCATATATACCGTATCTCTTTACGTCTAACAGAATGTACTATCGACGATGTTTGAAATGTGGTAAAACCAGTGTAACGATAGTTTTCGGAAAGGTGAAAAAACTATATTTAAAACGTGCGCGCGGGTATTTAATCTTAGACTTTTTTGTTTTTTTTTTATATTGAACTGTTAAAAGTTTGTTTCAAATAGATCTAACTTTTAAGGGGTTTAAAAAGTTCTAACATACAATGAAATACAATTTTAACTGTTTATTTCTACTTCACAGCAATTGGGATTAATTATATTCTATCCACCTGAGAAAAAAGCCGAAATTCTTCAGTGTCCATGAGCACCAGTAATAGTTTTGTTATTTAGTTGCAGTTATCGTTCAACGTATACTATTTTTCGTTTTGTTCATTATAAATGAACACCAAGTATATACATGATTTAACTTTTCGTTTATGTCAAGCGCTCGATCGAAATTATGATGTAAGTATTTTTAAATAATTATTTTTGAATATTGATGCAGAAATTGATAATTTACTTACAGGTGGTTAATATGGATACAGTCATGTCAGTTATTTCCACTTTGGAGGGCACAACGATTACAAAAGAGCAATTGGAGGCCACCAGATTGGCAAAATTTATAAACCTCTTAAGGCGTCGTACTAAGGATGAGCACTTAGCGCGCCGAGCTAAGTCTTTAGTAAAGAAATGGCGTGAAATGGTTGGAATTCAACAACAGCAACAGCATGTAACTGAAACAACGGCTATCCCTTCGTCTGCAGCTCTGCAACCTAGCATATACCAACAACAACGTATGCGGTCGCAATCAATATCCCCGGCAGCATCATCATTGCATTTTGATACAATACAGCAGCATTCAAATTCTAATAGTTGTCAAGCTGTTGCTGTGATTGCTGCTACCTCTACTTCTGAAAACACACCACGTCTAACGAGTGTGACATCTGTCCCTTTGTCTTCAATATCTGCAAGAAGTGCCAATGCGAATGTACATAATAGCAATAAAAGACTTGAAGGGCAAAATGAATTCGTTGAATCTGGGTTAAACATTCATGTCAGAAAACCGCCGACAAGTTTTGAGAATGTTCTAAGTAGTTTCGGTGATGCCCAGGACAGCAATATTGGTATAACATGTGATAATTCAACATTTCGCCATAAGGTAATTAAGCCTGTGAAACAACGTGTAACTCCACTGGATCATACAGAAACTTTTATAATTGATCAATCATCAAATTCCAACTCAGAAAGCTTGATTCTTCCAACAAATAGTCGACCTTCAAACATAGCTCCTATTGTTATTGATATACAGGATTCAAACTCCGGCTCAAACTTAGTTACTTCGATACTCATGAACCCCGCAGTTGGCTGCAAAATAGCGTCGTCTAAACCAAACAAAGCACAATCCGCTAACTTAGATAGCAAACCCAACATAACTACTTCGGCATTCCCATCTTTGAAATCAAAAAAACTTAAAAAGGAGAAAAAACGCAGAGATAGGGTTGACGTCAATGCTCAAGGTGGTATAGATAACATCGATGGTGTCAAAATGTCTGCTGTATTAGATGAAAATTCATCCAACCCACAACGTCGTCAGCAATCTGGGGACAATGCAGAACAATTTACGTCCTTTGTTAAGGAAGACAAATCTCGCTTAGCATATCCAGGTATATTTAATTATTAATTGCTTTGCATTATTGGCCACTATTTATTCGTTTCTTTGTTTAGAAATCCTTTCACTTCTGGATAACAGCTCAGTTAGCTCTATGTTTCCTCCAGAAGGCTCTACAAATCCTGTTGATGACACAAATAAAGTAAAGTCATGGACTAGTAACAGTAGCCATGCGCCTTTAAACTTATCAACATCTGACTTAACTTTCACTGGAAAATTCAAGCAAGGCAATACTTTGCCTTCGACAACTTCTGGCAACGAATTAATTGGGTTCAATGCGCACCGTCGCACCGTTTCTCCAAAACAGGTTCCTACAAATAGCTTTTCATTACAAACTGGACACTCGGCAACAAAATTTATGCCATTTCGAGAAGTTGGCTCAAATTCTAATGACAGCAATTCGAATAGTCAAGCTTCTCAAATGGATCTCATCGATATAGTTAGTAATGATAAAATGGTGCATGCTTTTCAGGCCCAAAGAAAACAAGATAGTTCGAATCCCCAACAAAAAACAGTTGGGGCTGCAAACATATCAACATCGCAAGCAGTACCAGCACCGGCATTTTTCCCACAAAAAATTCCACCCTCGAATACTATGGAAGCTACGATTGTTGCGGCTTCAAATACTCTTGTTTCGTCGGACAAAAAACTACCTAGAAAGCGAGGTCGTAAAAAAGGATCTAAGGGTGTTGATTCTGTTATTGCAAAAGAGACAAGTCTCACTTCCCAAATGCTCATGACATCTTTGGGTAGTGGAAATAAAAAGGTCAAAACCACAAAAGAGCTGTATGCTGAAATGCAAAACCGAAAATTAGGTATAGCCGTCACTTCGTCTTCGCCGACTTCAAGCGGCTGGCCAGTACCACAGCAACAAACCTCTCGTCCCACATCATCTTGTTCAGGTACGTTTCACTCCCTAATAAATAAATAAATATGCTTAATGCGAGGTTGAAGTTGGCAGCTGTCTAAGCTCGAGCGGTAAGACTATTTGTTGGCACTCTAGTTAAAATATTTATTTTTATATAAATGTATATTTATTTATTCAGCATATTTTGCTAAGTTTTTGTCGCTTTCAGTTGGACTTGTTTATTTAGTGGATGCATTTCTAATGCTTTTTCTATTTCTTAGATGTTGCTTTTGTTACCATCTATGATGTCTTTAATGCCTTTATTAATCTTCGAGTTTGGGTATATGTTAGTCGGTGCTCTATCGTGAGTGTTCTTACCCAAAAGGAGCAAGTTAGCGGTTGTGTTTAGCGAAGATGTGAGCTGTGTTAAAAAAGGCCAGTTTCAGTCCGAAGCCTAGCTAATTTGATTGAATGTAATATGTTCTAAATGGGCTGAGATTTATGAAAGTGTGGACCTCCCTCAGATTTCAGCCCTTCAGTCATCTGTAGACAAAAAACTAAATAAAGCTATTGGATAAAGTTATCCAAGAGGAGTTTATATTTTAACGATAGGCATACGGCTTATGCTATAAGCCTGATTCTCCGTGCTAGAGGTGGGTTGTTAAGGCGTAACGCAAGATCCTTTTCAGATAAGAAATCCGTGTTCTGTTTGCAACTTGGGGACTGCTGAATATACCTTCCGTTGTGTTAATTGCTTTGACGAGCGACTTTGGACTTTTCTTCAGATTAAAATATCCCTAGAGTTCAATTATGCTGCACTTTATCGTTATATTAGCAGTTATCTAAAGTACAGAGATTTAGTAATGAATGAATTTGACTGAATTTACTATTTGTTTAGTGCTCGGTTTTTAAGTGGTTTAAATATACTACTGTTACTACTACTATTTTATTAGATTTCTAACACTAAACTTTTTTTATTGCTAGAACCTTCCTTGCAATCGCCGCATACATTCGATGCTTGTTCAACTAATGCTACTATGTCTACCGGGACGACACGATTTACACCTGATAATTTCCTAAATAATACACATGCTGGTAAATATTGTCGAAGTCAAAAATAACAAATATGTTGTTTAGTGCTAGAAAAAAATTGTAATTTTGATTTTTGTTACGTCTACATTTCTCTCTTTAAGACGAAGGTGAAACTACTAGCGATACAGTCACTTCAGAACCATCACGCGATAGCTCCGCATTACCTCAGCACTTGAAGCGTTCTTTATCCATTGATAGCAACAGTAATTCACAATTCCTTTCTTCAGTAAAAATTACTGCTATTCCGCGGTCTACAACCGAAATGCAAAGTAGTGATACCGCGAATAAAATTGCCGCCGTTGAGAAACAGTTGCTTGAAATCTTTAAAAAATTGCCACCTGTACCGAATATAACTGCTATTGAGTTGAAATTCACGGAAGAATCAATACCATGTACTTGCAAAATTACTGAAATTTCTCCAGAAAACCGTGCTCAAAAGGAATCTATTAAAACGCAGGAAGCTGAAATAGAGGCTATAAAAGTAGTACCAGAGCAAAACAATAGGCAAAGCGCTTCTCAAGAGCGAACCTTTGTTAAAACGGTTGTAAGGAGTGAGGCAACTGGTGGAATCACTATAATTCCTGGCGAATCTGAACTAAAGCAGATGCCACAGGAGACGTCTCCATCACCCTCAACACGTCCAAAGCCTAAAAAATCCATATTCGACCTAGATTTCGATGATGATGATGATCCACTAAACACTTTAAAAGCTGAAGCCGCTGCTGCCATTTTGGAAAAAGAGAATGTAGACGAAACTCTTAAAGTTGAAGAGCAAGCAGAACCACAAGTGAGTACCACAGTCGTAAATCAGTTTGAGTCACAGTTACTCGACTATAAAATGTCCATTGAACAAGCAATGATTGAGGAGGCACCAATGCGTATATTTCCCACGTATGAAGTAGAAGAGGATCCCCTTTGTATGGCCAAACAACGTTTCGACATACAAACGCAAAAAATTACAAAATTTCACATTGATGCCTTACATAATTGCTTCATACCGAACGTAAACGGTAACTGGGATAATGCAAATAGCACCATAGGCTCTAAAGTGACACTGGATGAAGTCATAGCAGCCGTTGATGCCGAGACCGGATATGTTATATCCGATGGCTGCAATGTTGTTCCAAAGTACGGTTCCCTTGTGAAAGAACGAATCCGTAAAGATTTAAGTCATATAAGTTTTTCCAAAAATTATAAGTCGAAAAAGGTAACTGCTACCATGGAGCAAATGTACGTCGTACCATTTCTGGGTGTTGCTCGTTCAATATTGGTGAGCAAGAAAAGAAAATCGCACAATCATAGAACATGCCGCAAAATTAAAGTGACTGCATTGAACAATTGTCTCAACCAGAATATAAATGATGCAGAATCACAGTTCCAGGAAAATAAGAAAACTGAAGAGTACAAGACTGATGAAGATAGAATTGGAATCAGTGAGATCAAGAAAGATACTGAATCGGATTCTACACCCAAGGAAACAACATCAAAAAAGTTAATAGACATTTATAAACACTCACTAAATCCTGATGTTAAGCTTGGTGTGATAAAACCTTTTGACTTGGCGACTAGTACAATTGTAGGTAAAAATAACAATAATAACGTCACACTTAAAGACATTACAATCGATGTAATCGGTCACAGCACTGATATGTTTCATTTAAATGCGGACGTTCATAATTGCCAGAATCTGCTCGCGATTGCTGATCATTTGGATTACAGCTCAAAATCTGCTCACAATGCCACTGCTGAAATGGATATAGGTATACAGGAACAATCCGATGACCAACAAAAATATCGTAGCGAATCCAGTTCTGTTCGTGACCTAATAAGTGGTACTACTACTGGTAAGGATATATTCCCAAACATGTTGCAGCTCCCTGTAACCAAGGAGAGTGCAGAGTATACACATATGAATGAAAATAAATCTAGCAGGCGAAGCAGCAGTTGTAGTAACTCAAGTTTAAAGCAAACTCAGCAGTCGATCAACTTGAAATTAAGGCGTAAATTCCAAGAGCAGAAATTGTTAGATGTAAACGGTGACCGCAAACGTAGACGTAAGAAGTTGAAGCGACGCTGTACCACTGACGATAATGCTGGTAAAGAGAGTAAGCACCCAAAATTAAAGCGAATCAAAATAGCAATAAATGGCGATGTCGCGACGCAAATGCAAATATCAGGTGGTAGCAGCAATAATTGTACTGATGAAGACAGTGAAGACCAGCATACGGACACATGTAGCCTAAACGAAAATGACGATGGTGATGGAGAAATCACAGCTGATGATGAAAATGAACGCGCAATTAGGGCTAGTGCCGCAAACGAAGATGTTGAATCAATAAATAGCGCAGGCAGCAGCATTTTAACTTACAATAGATTTAACCTGACAAACGCTGATGACGAGCTTGATGCAAATTCTGCGGAAAACCATTGTACTGCTGAACAAGAAATAGGCTATGAGGAGTATGGAGACCTCGATGTTGATGCGGATGTCGAGTTCGATGAATACGAAGACGCCGAAGACTACAGTGGCGATTTTCATGAAGTTGTTACGCGGGATATATCTGCACCTTCAACGGGAAACAACCACATTGTTTTAACTATCAAGAAAACGCCTAGTAAAACTAATTCACCTTCAAACTCTCTTTCTGCCATCTCGCCTGTAGTTGTTAGCAATAACGAAAACGGCTCCCAAACATCAGGTGTAACAACCGTACCTATTGTTTCTAAGGGATCTGTACATACCGCGCATTCTATCGGTGAAATTGAGAATAATGCGTTAATCGTTAAGAAGTTAGACCTTGACGAAGATAAAAGTCTGGAGTCGTTGGTGCCAATTTCAGAAGTTTCCAATATATTGATCAGTGGTGTTAAGGAAAATCAAACACAATTGCTATCCCATACCCAAACTGATGCGGATATAATTAGTGATATTCAAGATGCCGAAAGAAATTCACCAAAAAGATCTGAAAGCTTAGCATCGACATCATCCCTTGAACTTGCGCCATTCATAGCGAAATATGTGTATAATGAATGTCGAAAAAAACGTCGTAGGCGTAAAATTAAAAGGGCTGAAAGTGTTGCCAAGGACTGTCTGCGAGATATAAAGCTACACCACGAGTTATTTTTTCCATTTGAACTCATTATCAGTGACAACGACGGTATAAAACATAATATTCTTAATATCAGCAGCTGCAGTTCTAGTTGTGTCGAAGATAGCGATTACGATGATAGGGATGGATCCGTGCCAATAGCTACAAGTTGTAAAACAAGAGACAAAACTTATCCCTCCAGGCATTCACAAATTGGTATTAAATTAGAAACAAGTATTGAGTCCTGCGAAAGAAATAGTGATATCAGTGGTCTTCAGCAGCGGGACCGTACTTTGACCTCATCTTGTTCGACATACTCAAGTTCTACATGTGATTCGCTGATTAAATATCGAGTAAAATTGGACTGCTGTAATGATTCCGGTGATATCCCAACCGAGGCAGCGGAAGTTCGTCGAGTAGAAAATGCATCTGCTGAGAATCAAAGCGAAAAAAATTACATTAACGCTGAATCCTCTCCGGTCGAAAATACTCCTTACTCGAACGAGGTTAATAGTACCACGCTGGCTGATACTACTGACAAAAACATAGAGGATAATGTCAACGAGGATTTGCCTTTAGAAAACAATGGTCTATTACACTCATTTAACAATATCTATTACACAGTAGATAAGTTCGAGGATGAAAACACTAATGGAGCCATAAATAATGGCAATATTATCGGAAGTACCGATAGTCTTTTAATTGGCGATAATGTAGTCCTTGGCCCTGCTGCCGTCAATGCAGCAAATCAACAGGAGCGAGAGCTCCCAAATAAAAATTGTGATGATTATAATAACATTTATAATAAAAACAGTAATAATATTAATTTAATTAGATACAATAATAACGAGCCTAGTTTAGTAACACATGTTTATCGTAATAAAAAAAGCGGTAGTAGTATTGAAGATGATCAGCAGCAGAAAGGAAATTGTTTAACATCTGGTGATGATTATAATGCTAACATTGATGATTATGTTTGCAAGAACTATGGAGAGGAATTGATCGTTAACAACGACGATAAAAAAACTGTCTTTAATTCTGGTAGTAATCAAATCGAACCCAAAGCTGGTGATAAGGAAGATCTAAGTTTCAACAGTAGCGGTGAAAACTACGAAATCGCGCATGCTGGATTGTCATCTATGCAAACTCGCTGTTCGCAAGTAATGCTGCCTCACAAAGAATTTCGCACTGGCCTACGCGCTGTCGACGAGGATGTAGATGATGAAGATGGCAACAACTGTGGGCGCATTCAGCAATTCAAGGAGTGGCATCAAGTGTTGCAATTGCGTTCCTACAATGATGATCTGCTTACTGTGCTACCATACGTGGTTCTTGATTGAGTTTAAACGAAGTTTGTAATTCGTTACGTTTATTTAGGGCAGTTATTTGTACTGCTGAGTTGTATATGTTTTACGATCCGCGTTTGTTAAATATTATAAAACAATTAAAACATAGCTTATAATAAAAATAAAATAATGAATTATGATAACATGAACTATAATAAAAAAATTAGATTAAAAAAAAATATTTGTAATGAATATGCAATAACTACCATTGCACATATTTGGAAAATATAATATACCACATATGCATTTGTTACCTTGTGTTTTTTGGCTGTTGTTAAAAAGTTGGTTGGTTGGTTGGTTTGTTGTAGTGCTACACAGTCAGGAATAAATTAGCGCATAAAAGCCCCATTTTACCGCACTTTTCGTGGAAAATGATATTATTTTTTCTACCGTAGCTTACCTTCCTGCGGTTTAGTCGAAAAAGTACGTTCCTAAGGGATCTTCATTCGTATTTATTCAAGCCTAGAAAAACGCCAGTGTTGGTCCGGATCAACTCGTTACTCTGGAATTATCTCGGGAAATAACTGTATTAAGACCTACAGGAAACGATCTGTTTCGTTAAGTTAGAGGGGTGTTCACTGAGTAAGATTGAGGTGAAATGGTGTGATGTCTTTATAATTGCCTCGACGCCTAATTTTCAGAAAAATTTTACATTTAAAATTTAAAAAAGCAAATTATATATTGTTGTCCCAAGCATTAAACGGGGACATTTTAGTTGTAAACAGGGACACGGGGACAAAGAGTCCGAAACAGCGACATGTCTCTGGAAACGGGGATGCATGGCAGCCCTTTATTAGTAGTAAAACCAAAAATTCTTCATACTAAATATTCGTTTGCACCACCTTCGCTTGCGTAATTTTCTGCAACAAGTATAGAATAGCGACCGTTTAGCTATAAAATAACCAAAAATGCCGAGTGATAAAACTTTTTACGCTGATTTCAACGATACCAAATCTATTTAGGTCAATAGGTCTATAGGTTTAGATGGCTAGGGAGAGTGAATCCCCCTTACACTTAGGCCAACTAAAGGCCCATTGTGATATCATATGCAATCTTTGTTCCCCTATAATGTTGCGGCAATAGTGCTCTTATATTGATTTCGGATACCTCTGCAAGGAGTTGTAGAGAGGGCTTTCCGAACGTCTGTAGCCGTCTTCTGCTGAGTGCCGGGCACTCGCATATAAGGTGCTGTACACTCTCTTCCTCTTCTTCGCATCTGCAGCTGTGACAGTAATCTGGCGCGCTCACTCCCAATCTGGATGGCCAGCACTTCCGCCTGGTATACACTGCAAGGGTGTGGAAGGCGAAAAAATGTTTCCAGTTCCAGCTCCGGGGAGAAGACTCCTCCCCCGACCTTTCCGTCGAGTTTGGAGTCATCAGTGAACATATTTATAGCGTTGCGTATATGGTGAGGCCTGGTGTCCCAGTCCTTTCGAGTTGGTATGGTAATTATATAGTTTTTGGTGAAGGTGTTTGATGGTATGCAGTAGTCAGTACTTGCAGGTATCGATATGGGCGCCCTTGTCCCTAGGATTGTTGAATGGCCTGATGGACTATAAGTCCAGAAGCCTGCCTCTCTAAGTCTTAAGGCTGCTATAGTGGCTATTTCCCGAACTACCAGATCAAGCGGGGGNAAGGTGTTTGATGGTATGCAGTAGTCAGTACTTGCAGGTATCGATATGGGCGCCCTTGTCCCTAGGATTGTCGAATGGCCTGATGGACTATAAGTCCAGAAGCCTGCCTCTCTAAGTCTTAAGGCTGCTATAGTGGCTATTTCCCGAGCTACCAGATCAAGCGGGGGCAGATGTAGGACCGCGTTAAGAGCTTCGGTCGGGGAGGAACAAAGAGCTCCACTTATGCATAGCTCTGCACTCCTTTGTACCTTTTGAAGTTGCCTGAGCGCTGTTGTCTTATTCGAGGGTAGGCCACTATACTAGGGCTCCTTAAAGCAGAATCGGGCGAACAATGGAAGTGTAGATCCAGTGAACTATCTTAGGTACGAAGCCCCACGATACCCCGATCGCCTTTTTACATGTGAAAAGTGCTGTGGTGGCTTTCTTGATGCGTTCCATTGTGTTGTCATTCCAGAGCAGTTTGCTGTCAAGAACTACTCCAAGATACCTGGCAGTGCGTTTTAATTCCAGGCGTGAGCCATCGAGTTTGGGTGGTATAAGAGCCGGTACTTTGTATCGCCTGGTAAAGAGGACTAGTTCTGTTTTAGCTGTGTTCACCTCAAGACCGATGTTTTTGGTCCAAGTAACGAGTGAGCCAAGAGCAGCTTCTATAAGATCACATAGAGTTTGAGGAAATTTTCCCTGTACGATAACCGCTACATAATCGGCGTATGCGACTACCCCATATCCATCCGCCTCCATGCGCAGGAGCAGTTGGTTCACCGTCACTACCCATAGGAGTGGGGAGAGAACACCCCCCTGTGGAGTGCCCCTACTAACAGACCTACGAGTCGTCTGCCCCCCAATTCGGAGCTAACCACCCTGCTGGTGAGCAATTGGTGGATGATCCTAACCAGGGGTTTCTCCACCCGCAGGTCCGTCAGAGCCGAGGTAATCGCAAACGGGATGCCATGACTAATGCAAATTCCTTTGCTTCTAGTGATTGCTCAATTTTTGAGACTAGCGTGTGGAGGGCAGTCTCCGTGGATCTGCCCTTACTGTAGGCATGTTGTGCATTAGATAACAGAGCTGGGTTAATCGATTGTCTTATATAAGGCCCCTATTGCGAGTGTCGACTGGCAGTAGAATAGAAATTTGTCGATCGAGTCGATCATGTTTTATTTTGCTATTGTGTAACTTGATCGATAAAAATTTGTACTATTGTGAATGGTCGATAGAATTGTAAACAGCTGTTTGATTGTTTACATTTGTTTCTTGAGTGTTTTATTTACATCATTTTTAAAATAATTGCTTTTATTATAAAATTAAAAAAATGGACACAGTTGAAATATGGTTTAGTGATGAAGAAGATGATGCCGAAGCTAATAGATTAGTAGAGTTAGCTAAAGCAAGGAGGGAATTGCGAGATTCGTCGGATCCCTTGGACTTGGAAGGTGTATGTACATGTGTGAGTTTTATGAATAGAAGTTGCGTTCCCGATGCTTCACAGTTTTTAGGCTTTACATGATTTGCAGGAAAAGCTGTTTTCCTCATTAATAAACTTTATGGAAGTTTAAGAAATACGGTACGGTTAAGTTTTTTGTACAATGATGTTGGGTTTTTGTGTCCAAACGCGTGACCCGAGTTTAAAAACTTTAACATAACAACATAACAAGTGTATTGAAAGAATTCAACTTTAATTTAAAATAAAGATTTCAAATTTCCGAGCACTAGTCAATTAATAAATTATGCAGTTTTTTTGTATAAACTTTTGATGTTGGCTCTGCGCAAAAACACTGTGGATGGCGTAGCCGGAGTTATATGCACAAGAAATATTGTATATGTATCTTTTCCAATAGAAGCGGAGCTTCCTACCCTACTCTTTCCGGAAATTCCTTTGCCTATGTCTTCACTCTCCTGCATCAGTACGAACAACCGCGCAAGTTGCCTTTTGTTGCTTATAATTTTTGATCTGTAATTCAGACACATACATGCATATGTATATTTCACAATTTTTTACAACTTCCAGTTCAATTGACTTACTTTTTATCCATTATAGTACCACTTTCTTATGTAAATTTTATAAACGCAAACTCCAACGACTAAAAAACAGCAATAGAAGGATGAGCGATTAAAAAGTATTCACAGTCGCTAATTGAGCGACTAAGCGACACTCGCAATAGCATCGATAATCGATAATCGCTTAATAGTCGTTTATCTACTGCCAGCCGACATTCGCGATAGGGGTGTAAGTCTCCAGGAGTCGTTCCAGAGTCTTAAGTAGAAAGGATGAAAGGGTGATAGGCATAAAATCGCCAGGTTTAGCATGAGAGGCTCTGCCTGCTTTCGTTATGAACACTACCTTGGCTTCTGTCTAGGCTCCGGGAATGTAACCGAGTTTTAGACAGCTGGTGAATATGGTCTTTAGCCATGGCCTTGTACGCTCCATGGTGTGTTGTAGCTGGGCCAGATATATTCCATCCGGTCCTGGCATCTTATAGGGCTTGAAGTTAGATATGGCCCAACAGATTTTCCGGTCGCTTACGATTTCGTTGATGAGCTGTGGTGTAGCCTCTGCTGATTCTGGATCATATAACGTGTCACCGCTGCTTTCTGGGAAGTGATTATCCAAGAGTACTTTAACGGTTTCTGAACTTGAGTCAGTCCAGGACCCATCATCTTTTTGGTTATAGCTAGGTGCTGTAGGTGATTTTGCGAGTACCTTACGGAGTGTAGAGGCTTCGGATGTAGTCTCTATCCCGCTACAAAAATCACTCCACGAGGTGCGTCTCGCTTTCCTGATGGCTTTCTTGTATAAGTTAAGTGTCGATTTATATTGAGCCCAACATGTCTCTAGGGCGTCGCGCTTAGCAGCATTGAAAGCTTTCCTGCATTCTTTGCGAAGTTTATTTAGATCGGAGGACCACCAGGGAGGTTTGTACGCCTCCCTGGTTTTCCTCTTGGGACATGCCTTGATAAGCGCTGTCTCGCAGCTCTCAGCAAAAAAGCTAACAAGGTGATCAAGTTCCTCCCTACTATCTGGTGTATTAAATGGTTCAGAAGGTAGGTTCTCATAAACAAGTTTTCTGTAATACCCCCAATTAGTTTTCCTGATATTTCGTATCTCTTTAGAGACAGGGGGCGAGTCTAATATGCTAAATTCTATGAACCTGGGGTCTGAGAAAGAGTGCTCTTTTAGGACCCTCCACGCAGAGATCTGATTACTGTAAGATTCACTAACGAGGGTGATGTCAAGAACTTCGCTTCGATTGGTTGTGATAAATGTAGGGTCACTTCCCGTGTTGCAAATTGCCAGATTTGTGCTTAGCAAATAGTTATAAAGTGACTCACCTCGCTCGCTTATGTCGGTGCTGCCCCATTGGTTATAATGGGCATTTGCGTCCCCTCCCAGCAGTAGCATCGTGTCCATCGGGTTTGTATTTTTCACCAGCTTCATTAGTGCTGTGAGTGGGAAAGGGCCCTGATAATCGTGGGCCAGGTAAAAAGAGGCCAGCCTGTATTTTCTTCGCTCTATTTCTAGGCTGACCGTGGTGATGTCTCCAGTGCTGAATTGTGGTAGGATAAAAGAGTTTATATTAGTTTTGACTAAAATGCAGGTGCGGGGTTTTCCCTTACCCTG